AATTGTTAATTATATTATCATTTTAAAACTTTTTTTTCTGATCAAAGTATAATTAGAATAATGTTTCATATATCTTTTAACATACAAATTAACCAACATTTGTAGATTAGTGTTTTGCATGCTCGACAGGTATTTTATATCAGGAGTTTCAGGAGCGTAGAGAAACGGGTGCGGGGAGGTTGTGCCCCCCTTTCATCAACAGGTTGACCTGTTGGCAAAATCTGTTATAATGTTATAATGGTTATTTATTGAATCCTTCATGTACTGCATTTGTTGTGCTGTATTGCTGCGTGCTCATTTTGCATGACTGCTACTTAACAGTATAATAGTGTTCCTCTTTCATAAAAGTTTTGAAAGATTTAGTTTATCATTAGCCTTTTTAATTTATTGTTAAAATTAAATACTTAGCTATTTTTTATATTTGAATTTTTGCCGATAATTGCATGGTCAACAGAGTAAGAACGAGTGTGTTTGGCGAACAATATTTACGGCTTCGGTGAGTTTTCATTCAGCGTACCAATTTTTATTAAAGTAGAGAGTGAGATACTGAAAAATACACAGTGACATATTTTCCATATCTTCACTAGTGAAGGTATCGGATGACGTGACTTTTTCCAATTTGCTTTTGAGCGTGAAATTTCACAATTTTTTGCTTGGGGTAATATAATAAACAGAACATCACATGTTGGCTTGAAGAAATGACTTTTATCTTCTTGTGTTAAAAACAATATTTTACTCACTCGTCATACGCTTGTTCGTAAAATATTGTTTTCACCACTTGAAGATAAAAGTCATATCCTCGCGCCGCTGTGTAATATCCTCTATATATATGTTGTGTTATTTAACGAGCCATCGTTCGCATTTTCCACGACCTTTCGAAACACGACAAAATATACATTGATGCAGCTACCGTAAAGTTATTCGCTGACGAACAGAATCACCCGCGTTTTCTTTACTATGCTATGGTTTCTGAAACCCTTCCCATTTGGACATATGCGTGTTCCAAAGTCGGAATTGATTTCAAACCATACACTATACAGCAGATGATTGGATTCATGATTCGAAATTTGAAAGAGAGAGAGAAAAAGCCAGTATTTGAGTCTAAAAGTGCTGTTCCATCACTCGTTTTGAGTGATTTCAGCATGGCCATGGCAATTATAATCGTATGTCTTCAACAACAATTCGTACGAGGAGTTAATAGAATGCGCTTATATAATTGTTATGGGTGAAGCAAATGAATCAGATATAGCAAAATCCACGCATCATGTTTGTTTTGCACACATGATACAAATTCTCAAAAGACATCAGAAAGAAATGTGCGAAAAGAATATAGCGTAGTGAGTCCATATAGCAATGCGTTTCTTGGGCGTCTAATAGCGTCTATATAGGGGACGTCTAACAAAATAAATTTTTACTTCTGCGCGGCTATCTTAACATATCTGGTTATAGGTGGGCCGGAAACTGGTTAGGTGGGAATCTGGTTAGCTTGAACGTCTCAGGACTGGACTGATTTTTAATTTTTTTTCTCTCTGCATGGAGTTTTGCACCTCAAAGTTTTGATTCTGTGGTTTTGATTCTCGGAAATTGAATCATTATTTATATACTGTATATACCTCCGCCAATAATTTCAATTTATAAGTGGAGTGAAATCTCTCGAAAGAGCATGCAACTGCCAAGTTTATACTCATTTACTTATTTGGCAGTTAGTGACGTCGCTCGTATAGATGCAACCATGCATAAAGTAAGGGGCCGACCATTTAACTTTTGAGGGAGGGGGTGGGTGATTTACTGCTGGCAGGGAATTTTTTCTGGGATCGTTATGTGCAAGGTTGTTTTTTTATCCCATCACAATGTACGATTTTTTTTGCGATATTTTTCAATAGCTTATACTATTTAGATTCTTTAATTATAGTTAACGTTGAGTTTTCTAGCTTCATGCATTGCTCTTAATAATACATATTGCTATGAGGTATAACGTTTGGTTCAGGGTCTTTCTTAAGGATGTGTAACTGGAGATTTCCGAATGACGAAAATAATTTCCGAATATATCATGCCATACTACGCCACGAAGGTGTTTGCTATTCGGAAAATGAAGTCGCAATTTACAAACAAAAATACGCATATTGTACGCACAGACATATTACAGAAGCAGTGCGGTAGGGAGCTTTTGTTTATTGGGGGCTGAAAACGAGGGCCGGAGGCCCGAGAAAATTTTTAAATTTCGAGTCTCTGAAATGCCATTTCCTGGACTTTGGGGGAAGTTTTGACAGAATGCTGATGGTCAGAAAAAACGTTTTAGTATGTTGAAATTTACAATTTGCTTACAATTTATAGTGACAATACAATTTTATAATATTTTCTCTGTTTAACAACTACTATTATTGCCGTAATTTTACGAATGGCCAACCCGATTTTCTGAATATGTTGATTCTAAAAAAGTTGGGGGTTAACCACCCCCCAATACCCCCCCCCCCTTGCTACAGCCCTGTCTGTATCATTGCAGCTACCTACAGCATATATATGCATGGTTTAACTAATAAGTATATGTCATAGGGCAGCAGCTCAGGCCATGCTTAACTAGGACTCTGAGACAACTGAGTCGACCACCAAAGGTGCGAGCCTCTAGAGGGGTCTGGGGGCATGCCCCCCCCCCCAGAAAATGTTTGATTTTTTGAAGCTCAGGTAAGCTATTTCCAGCATTTTGAGGAGTTTTCCAACAAGAAATTAACCTTACACTAGTCCCTGAAAATCAAACCAGCTGATCTTCTCGGACTGGTCAAATCGATCCCTGCAACCATGCTGTTTTGCAACATTTTTCCCCCCACCAAATACTGGGGCAGGATATTTTTTCCCCCAGTTTGTTAGTGCAGGTATTTTTTTTTTTTTGTTCAGAATAGCCTTGCAGGGAATTTTTTTTCAAAATCACCCACCCCCTCAACATCACCCAAATTTCCGAGGGGGGGGGGCAAATTTCCTAGAAAATTTGGCCCGGGGAGGGGGCGAAGTTTGAGGGGGCCAAATTTCCTGGGACTGGCCCGACACCACATCACATCGATAAATAAACACTGAATATAAAAACTAAATTTACAGATATTATCACTTTATGTACTGAAAATTTTGGGTAAAACACTTTAGACAATACTCGACTTAAATATTAACAAATAGCAGTTAAATTCTCAAACTCGTAAACATACATAATAGCCAGAGATTTTATATAGTGCAGGTATAGCCATAAGTATAGGTGGCCAATAGCCATAGACTGATAGAGATAGTAGTCTTCATAGCGGAGATACGAACCCTGTTTCCCTCGATATTCACAACTTTATATTAAACCGGGATATTCGCAACTTTATATTAAACCGGTGACTGTTTTGACTGTTTCCCTCTCGCGATAAATAAACACTGAATAACCATAGGTAGCCCAACAATCCGCACGCTGTGACGTATGATGCAGTATACCTATGGAATAACTGGGATATTCGCAACTTTATATTAAACCGGTTCATCTGACATCGATAAATAAACACTGATTATATATTAGACTAAACTTAAAGATATTAAATCACTTTAATAGTAGCCTAGTCTTCATAGCAGAGATATGAACCCTGAAAGGCTGTTTATAATTTTGACTGTTTCCCTCATTTCATCACATCGATAAAGAGGGCCCTGAAGGGGTAAAATGGGAACTGGGATTGATCTATTTTTAGACTGGGAAAATGGGATTTGGGTTGCTGGGACTGGGATTTGGCCACTGGGAATGGGAAATGAAGTCCTCAAAAATGGGAATGGGATTGAGGTAATGCGAGTTGATTCCCAATTTTTCTACATTTTAAGTACTTTAAAATACAATTTTGATCCGTTTTTGGTGTCTTTGGTCATGATTTTTGTTGTTAACTATATTATTCACAGTACTACCTGCGAACAGGCATACTCTGGCGCCCGGAATTCTGGGTTTTCTGATTATGCGTGTCTCAGAATGCTGCAAATGCCATTTCTGGGATTCAAATTTAAAAATTTTCGAACCCCCCTCCTCCAATATTTCATAAAGTGTTCGCCACTTGCACACACGCGTACGGTGGCTTAAAAGGTCTTAAAACTGTTTATTCTACCCATAAATAAAGGGTTTTTTATTGACTGGGATTTCAATAACTCGGACTGGGATTTCTAATAAAAATCCAACTGGGACTGGGATTTTGCCAAAATTTCAGGTGGGAAATGGAAATGGGACCCCCCCCCCCCTTCAGGACCCTCGATAAATATTAACACTGAATACAAAATTTTGTTGAACAACCCTCGGAAAACCGACAGCTCCCCCTACTTCAAATCGAGATTTCGACTATACATAACTCGGCCAGAAGGACAGGACACAAAAAAGCAAGAACGTCATGTAACGTCAAGAATAGTGTGCTGCCTCGCTGACGCTCGGCAGCAATTACAAGCAAGCAATTATCGTGTTTACTCTGCCATTTACGTCATCTAATATGGTCACGCATAAATTACATAAATTACCAACATAACCAGATTTGGATGATGAATCAACAAATCATATAGACTAACATTTAAAAGGCAATCTTATTCTAAATAGAAGTATTAAAGCTATATGTATAATGCCAATAGTAAATAGAACCATGCATTGTTTCCGCTTTTATAACTATGTCCGTGAAACTGGCCAACGAATATTAAATAGCGCCAAATTCCTTATCAGACTGTATATATGATATTGAGAGATACGTTAGAACTTACCACAAGTTGTCAGGCAAATCAACACAACTATGAAGCTCTGAAAAACCGTAGTCGATCCCGGTGGTTTCTGCATGATAAATTGGTTACCACACAATCTGATTTTTTAACCGAGGCTTAATCTTCAAAACAGAAACGTAAATATGATTATATGAATACTTCAACACGGATATCACAATGGAGGCTTGAGTTAGTGATCTATGCCTCGTCTGACGTCGGTTAAAGGAATCATTGAATCAATCTTATGTGTCATATCTTTATCGCTTCCCATTGTGAGTAGTCTATCAATAGTTAATCACTGACTTATTGACTAGCAGTAAATGTTTGGAGATGTACAGAAATCTACTGCAGCGCTGCAGCCATAATTTAATACGTTAGGTGGGCGTAATGACGTCAGCACTCACCAACATCCGCATGTGCCCGTCCGACCGCTTCAAAATGAAATAAAACTTCTTTAACAAACTTTAAGTAAGAACATATTCCTGTACGTCAGGACCAGTTGTGCCAATGCGCACCGGTTCATCAAAACCACTATTAAATGATTAGATGAGACGTTTTCGCCTCTTCGGCAGACTCGATCTTCTTCAGTTAATTAATAACTTACAGTTATCAAGTTAAGGTCAATTTATATCAGTGACTGTGGGGGAATTTTTTGTGATAATTAAAGTATAATATTAATAAAGTATATAGCATTGACTTATTTTTACCATGCTAAAGTAATGCATTTTATGAACAAGTTAGTAAGCTTGCCCAGACGAGTGATGAACTTGGCATTGAATGCTACGGGAACCCTTTCTGGAACAGCAGGGGGAGAACTGAAGTGTTCGACACGACTCACGAGGTTCGACAAGTATGACTTGAAAACCATATAAAAATTAGCCACAATGCCGTATATTCTTTCAATATTTTCAGTGTAGTATTGCAGTGTGATAGTTAAATATGTCAATTTAATATTGGTGCATCTATATAACAAAAATATATTTCATGTTCTTTACTTTTAATACAATTAAAATGCATGGTGATAGCATGTATAACACGTTGTCTTTATAGCAGCCTACGGTGTATATAGGCTAGCCGTCTTTACTCTCAGTATAGACAAATCCTTAGTTCAACTATTATATATTGTTAATTGGTTTTACTGAGTATTAAATCCTAGACCATTTTAGTCTTTTTTTAAACTGTTAAATTCACATTTGTAGAATACAGGACAGTACTATTCTTTAACTTTAACTTTAACTTTAACTTTAACTTTAACTTTAACTTTAACTTTAACTTTAACTTTAACTTTAACTTTAACTTTAACTTTAACTTTAACGTTATGTTTATTTGAATCATAGTTCGAATCACAGTTAATAGAAGAAGGCCTTCTTCTATTAACTGTGTTCGAATGAAGTTTCCGCGTCGATCAATTTTGAAAGGATTGAATTACATACATGGGGTCAAGGATTGGATGGTCAAGGCTAAAAGCGTACGTGTATAACTGCACGATACTTATACTTAGAGAAAACTCAAGATTTTACTGTTTATTAAGCTGCCAAATTTGACATTTTAGCGTTACAATGCTCTAATCAAGTGTTATAAGCAAACAGTTTTAATCAGCTTAATATTATTGAAGTACCCCCGCCATCTATAAACCCTCATATTGGTCCAAACTATTTGCTATTGAAAATTACAATTAATGAATTCACTCAACTCGGAACTAAAACGTGTACAAACAAGCCCTGAAACACTAGCTTCAAGCCTTCATCTCCTTCAAGGATCAAGTTAATTGATGAGTGCTGTTTTGACTTCATGCATGTCTGTCTGATGTCTGGTCGTCCTGTTCATAACTGCCACAATTTTTACAGTAATTTATAATACATATTGAATTAACTGATATCATAATTGTATATTGCTCAGTTTATGATAGCTCATGTGTATAGTATAACCGTTTTTTGGATTTAATTCTAACCGACTAACCATTCCAGTAACAAACAGTCAATACTGAATAGTATCAGTAGTCATAGACATATGAATTTTCTTGCCAAGCTAGCTTTTCCTTAGTGGTTTGGCATCCACGTGTAGATGATATTCGATAGCGAAACAAGTATTCAGTAATTCAGGTATAATATTTAGTAAAGAATGACATAAAACTATTTCAATTGTAGGCCTAAGACCGTATTCATGGGAATACGCATCTAGTATATATATACGCGACGGCGTTTATATATAAACGATTAATTAAATAATGATCTATTAGTCAGATTTCATATTAAATGGAAAAATGCCAAACTGAACTTGAAACTAACTGAAATCGAAACACACGAAATGCATGTTTAATAGCATACGCGTCAGTTCAGATCGATATTAGAGACCTTAAGATTGACGTTTACGGCAAACGTCAAACCGCTAGCGAAGTTTTTGATTTTACAGCTCTATTATTGTAGCTTTTACACCAGTTTTGAAATATGTTAAACTGATTAAACTTCTGCTCTTTAGCAATGATTTAAGAAAGAAAATTTACCACTAGTCATACCATTCACCAAAGCAGTAAATGAAGATTTGGCGTTTGAAGTTGACGTTTGACGTATAAATTTCATGCTTTAACGACTACAAGCCCTCGTAGCAGTTCAAGCATGAAATCTATACGCCAAACGCCAACTTCAAACGCCAAATCTTAATTTACTGCTTTGGTGAATGGCATGACTAGTGGTTAATTTGCTTTCTTAAATCATTGCTAAAGAGCACAAGTTTAATAAGTTTAACATATTTCAAAACTGGTGTAAAAGCTATAATAATAGAGTTGTAAAATCAAAAACTGCGCTAGCGGTTTGACGTTTGCCGTAAACGTCAATCTTAAGGTCTCTAATAGTTAACATTCACCGAAGCACGTAAACGAACGTATATTCAGTTATGTTAATTTGCAAACGTAAGAAATTGAATTCTGATTGGCTCCACATGTAATATGTGTAAATGATAGATATGCATATTGTTTGTAAAATGTGCGAATTCTAAAGACTTTATCATGTTGTCAGTTAATCACAATTTCGATTTGAAGCTACGTCGAGATGCACGTGTAGATCACTATAGAGTCTTGAGATTTCCTAACGTACTATCGCATCGTGCGAAAATATGTTTGCATATACAAAGTTCTCATTCTCGTGCAGACATATGTCCAACTATTTGCACAGAAAATGTTTGAATCTTAAAACTTCTCCAGACACTAAGAGTCACAAGAGAATACATTAATTAGTCGTTCAGCCTTCAAGGTCAAATCCCAAAAACAGACTGGCCATAAAAATTTTCTAGCGATCGATTTTAAATTAAAATCGTTTTACTCTGGCTCGCCGTGCTTATATGCATGCTTCAATGCTGAAACTATCGTTGATATGTACATGTCCTCGCTATAAATCTCGTAATGTCATGATTGATTCATGAACGAATTTAAACTCTTCACAAATATGTTTGCCTTTGACTTTGGGAATCGAAAAATTTACGAAACATACTGTATTGAGTAGCGCAATGACAATGTCTATAGTACAGACATCTGGTGCAATTTTGCCCTTTGGGAATTGTGTTTACTTTCATGCAAATTCATATACAGTACAGCATATGATATGGCACGAGACTGTCGAGTCATCAAATTCCATTGAAAATGAACTAAATTTTCGTGCACAAACAGCGGCCAGGTCGACTTAACTTCCAAAGTTATATCAGTTAACATTCTGCGGATATTCTGAGTTTAATCAACTAGGTAAAGAATGGCATTCAATAAAGCGTGCCAGTTTTTCAGGGAATGAGCGAGACGTCTCGAGTTATAACATCTCATCCATGCAAATTTCGCGTTTACGTTCAGTACGTAAGCAATCGTATGTAAATCACCAACACACTGCCAACTTTCGTGCGAATAAATTAAGCCAAACGTTTATCCAATAAGAGCTTGCTATTATACGGTTGAGAACGGATCGAGTGCTATCAGCCAATAGGGAACTGTAGTTTTGACGATTGTTTCGTTCAGTAATGAGGCTTTACGTTCGTTTACGTGCTTCGGTGCATGTTAACTATTAG